CTTGGTCTAAATTTTCATTTTTATATATAAAATTTTTGCATACTGGAACAAACAATAGATAATCATCGATTGCATATTTTTTTTATTGTTTAATGTAAATGCCGTATCAGAAACCCAAATTGTCTTAAATTAACATGGCATGCGGAAAGCTACTGATTTAAGAAAGTTAAGATTTCTTGCCAATCTTGAGAGTGACGAACCTTTAATGACTGTGGATAATAATTATTCGTAAATTAATAAAATACTGCATATTCTGAATTATTCATAAAATAGAATACTTCAGCTTCTTGCTAATTTTAAGTATACTTCCCCCACGCATTTATGAACATTAAGAATATGACATATTAATGCGCTTTACACTGTCATTTGCATATCTCGAATATTTTAACTAAGAAAAAAAAAGTTAGATTTTCCTTTCATAAATATTATAGACATGAATGCGTAATGTATTTATTATTAGAGAATTTTGAATTATTCAGGAAAGAATTTTTACCCTCGTAAAAATGCATTCTTACATGTTGTCGATAGTCTGTTGTTTATAAATTATTTACATAAAGAATCCGCGTCCAAGTAATATTCAAATAAGTTGATATTAAAAAAAAAAAAAAAATTTTTTTTTTTGTAGCATCAATGATGTAGCTTTCTTGTTTCGTATACTGGTGTTTCACTTGTTTATTTCCTACGCATAAAAATAATATATTTTACTCTAGCAAACAGTTCATTTCCGAGTGACAAATCTTCTTGATGGATTCTTATTTGTCAAGCAACGTCAGTAGCTCGCGAAACAGAAAAATTTCAAAAACAAAAAACAACTAATAACCCTATGCAAGGGTAATTGAGACGCGACAAATTAGGTCATAAACCACGACTCAGCCTCCCATTGTTCGCATAAAAGGATGTGTAAAAGTGGCGTATTAATAAGTATAGTTCTATGTGTTTGGTAAAGCTTAGTAGATGTATTACTTAAAAGAGCATAGTACATGCACACGTGCAACTAGAATTTAACACATTGGTTTTAGACGTCTGAAAACAAATAGAGGGTCATCTTAAAACTCGTCCAAAATTTATCGTCTCTTGATTTATACACTTTTTATCTTTGATTTTTGTGTGATTGATGCTCGTGGTTACGCTAACGCCGAATGCCCACGACACTATGCGCTTTTTATATGTTGATTCTTCAGTTTAAATAGATTTGCATTCACACTTTTAAGTTGTGCGCTGCGGCCTTAGCGTATACACAAGTCGACAGTTATCAGTCTTGGTCATGATCTTTGTGGATTAAACCATTGTTACATAATGTTTATACTGTATCTACTGACAAAATGGTATGTTAATGATTATAAATTTATAATTATTTATTAATTAATGTTCTGTATAAGGTACACGTTGCTATAAAATTACAAATATTAGTTGCTCTATCTAACGAAACAGTCATCTCACAAAATACTATTAATCCCTTAATTAAATCGCACAAAATAACATGTCGTGTATAGTACGTCTAGATAAACAATCATGAAAAAAATTTTTCTACTATTTCTTCTGCCGATGACTGCAAAGCTTCTACGCTCCAAAATCATTCATTCCATCCCATTGATGTCTTCCGTAATTCCTTCGAAGATAGTACAAGTAATCACAGTAGGCAGTATATATAGCAGGTATGATTGGAGGGAATGGAGCAGATTCGGAAACAATTATTTCCCTGAAATAAAAATGGGATTGAAAGAAGAAGCCAGCGAAATAAGTATAGTATTTGCAGTATATATTACATCAATTCACTACTCACCTTGCATAATAATTCCACATACTCCCAATGTATTCCAATTGTCCATAATTTATATCCTCGTCTACTGACTGAAACTTAAAGTTCCATCTCCTTTGCTTTGAGAAATATGCTATCCTTGTGTAATCCGACTCATTTTTCCTTGCACATTTTCTCCAAATATAGCCGTTTGGTATCGATTTCCATGTAATTTTGTAATCACATGAGAGAAGGCTTTCTTCCGAGGAGGCACTTTTGTTATTTGAAATCGTGAACGCAATATCAACCACTGGTTTATTTAATTTTGAGGTAACGGTTAATGCCTTGTAATCGTTTCCGCTTTGATCTTGTCTTAGCTCGAGAACCTTGAAATTTTCTAGCGTCCAAGGGTGACTTAATATTTCGGCGCGTTTTAGGAAATTTCCCTCATTTCTCGTATTTAAGCTGAAATATCTCGAGGAAGCGCGAGAACGAAAATTTAGAAATTCTCTGGTATTATGTGAATATAAGTTATCAATGTCTTCGTTTCCTTCAACTGTCAATTGACTCCCTTCCGCATTATTAACTTCAGTAAATGAGCTCTCGATTACGTAATCGAAATCCAAATGGTTTTTAAATCTTAATCGATACTCATACGGAATTGTTGAGGCGCCGATGGGAAAAATATCAAGTGAAGAATTAACTCTAGTCACGAAAATTAAAATCATTGTTGCGGCAACAATGGCCAGAATAATGAAGCAATAGTTACGCATGGTTTTGCATAAGATGGCCAAAAGAGGAAAGCAGCATTTGCGCATGCTTTTGTTTGTGTTTGAAATAAGCGGTGAATTCTCGTTGACAACCATTCTGTTAGAGAGAGAATTTGAAAGCTGATATCTTTGGTTGGATTTATTGCTTGCTGTTTATATAACAAAATTTTATTCACGTTATATCTTTTGTTATGTGCACCGCAAAGTTAATCCGTGAGAGTTACCTTCATTAGGTCTATTTGTTATTAAGCATAAATGAGAATGTTGAATAAAGCAATGTCAATTCCTGAGAATAATGCAAGATTCACTTTCATTAGATTTATCGGGTGCATTACATAATCGACTGCGTAGGAAAAATCGAATAGACAAAGAAAAAAATTTACGCATGACACGCACGCATGTATCAAAGGTGTGCGAAAAGGTCAGGCTTTTAGAGTACGGAACATGATCAATAAAAACAATGACACTTTCACCGCTATCTTTTTATCTGATAAGCATGAGAATTCTTTTTCCGACTTTCCGTTCATAGTGAGCTTCGAGATTGGAAGACAAATTCGGTCCTTGTACAACTTATTCGTTCTAAACAATAATTGTTTGAAAACACGCCACCTGTAGCGACAAACGAATGGGATTTTACTCTGTAAGTGTGAGAATAATATTATAATTCATTTCCGCAGAATTTATTATTATTATTATGATTATTATGGAAAATATTAAAATAGAGGACGCGCAGGCATGTTTGTAGTACCTTTTAACGTTATTGTGTATGGTCTCTGTGCACCTCAATCATGTGACGATGCAGATAAAAAAGTATCATGATTACGATAAGATAGATGAATGATTTAAAACATGGGGTGAGGCACAACGCGTGCTGATGCTGAGTGATTATGCACGCATGCGCATAATTATTCCTCTTTGTTCTTATCGTTGATCAAACAGCTGATATCTGTTATTAGTATATCCCTTTTATGGCGAATGATAAACTGCATGACGGATGGATTTTAAGTACGTGGCTTAAATAAGGTGCGCACGTGCGCAAGCACGTAGAGATCACGAGACGGTGTTGTAACGTGGCGCATCACAATCTACCTGCAACATTACATATCGGGCTCCATTAAATTTTCAATGTTATCGATGGGTTTATTTTTGGGTGCCTTGATTATACAATGACTCTTTAAATCGTTTCACAAATGCTCTATTAGGCAAAGTCTAATAATCGAGAAAATTTCAAAAGCAATCGGATCGATTTTATTTATTTGTTTCTTTTGAAAAAATATTTTCGATATTAATTACTAATCTATCCACTTTCAATATTGGATGTTTTATTTTATTTTTTATTTTTTAAATGCTATATAAAATTCTAATTTTGTTAAAGTTATAGCATCTTTAACCATAATATTAAATATATAATGCATGGCAAATTGGTTTATTATTAATGAAAATAATAATAATAATAATAATAATCGCATCAATACCTTTCAATTGTTTATTTATTTATTCTAATTTATTTTTATTCTATATTATTTATTTATTTATTTATTTTGCGTATATATTTAGTTACAAAACCTGCCGTTCGATTGTAAAATAATTATAATTTTTCATATTTATTATCGTATTACGATTTTTTTTTTCTTTAATCTCTCTTAAATTACAATAATATTTTTACGATGAGGATTGTTTCTGAACAAATCAATTATTTTATCATGTTTAATTGATTGATTGAAATCTATAAAATTATCCATAAGGTAAAAAAGAATTTTTTTTTTCGGTATTTAAAATTTTAAATTCTTAATTCCTTAATGACATTATTTCATATTTAATATCATATTTATCAAAAAAATTTCAAAGATTCGCTTGTTTTGATTTTAATTAAAAATTCTTTTGGTTTTTATTTGTTATCAAAGTTTTATGAAATTGAAATACATTTATCTTTATGTAAATTTTATTATTTTCATATTATATTCATTTTTAACTAAATCTTACAAATATCATAAATTTTGAAAAGTTTTGAATTTTTTAAAAAATTAATTTTAGGGATATTAAAAAAAAAAGTAATAAATAAATAAATAAATAAATTAAATTAAATTAAATTAATAGACTGAAATAAAACGGAAATGGAATGATCATATTTTATATTTTCTGAAATAAAGTTTAGCCCAAAAAAAAAAAAATAATAATAATAATAATAATAAATTAAAAATAAAAAAAAATAAAATAAAGCAATGTAAAGTTGAAAATGCACGTAAGAAAATATGGTGGATAAGATGCAGTAATATGCAATACATAAACATCGTATTTGTGATAAATAAATCTTACACATTTAATTAGAAAGTATAAAAAACAAATACGTTATACTCACCAACTATGGATCAATAAAATCAAATAAATCATTATTTAAAAAATTTCAAATGCAGACATAACTTTTACGATCATGATATTTCTAAACAAAGAAAAGATAAACAAGAATTTTACGTAGGAATGCTGTATCTATTTCTTTGGTTCAATTGAAAACCAGAAAAGGTCACCACCTCACAAATTTATTACATGCAATCTCTATTTATTTAGGAGTGTGGCTATTATTGGGCTAATCGCAAAGATCAACAAGAGTGACGAACTTTAAATATTGCGTTGACTTATGAAAGAATTGTTATAAATGGACGAGAAACTCGCTTAAAATATGTATTGCATTTAAGCCATAATTGACTGCTCCTCGAATAATCGCCGACCTGGGTTGCCGAGGCACATTGCTATTTTCCATTTGTGAATTGAATTCTACCTTAACTCGTATTGCAGATTTTTGGATTCGCCAAATCACCCTTCGGTGATGAATCGAAGACGGTCCTGCGCAAAATACTAATCAAATTACTGCAGCATTGAAGACATATTTTCCAATTATTCCCTTCGCCATTTCGGTAAAATCTGAGGGTACAAGGAGTGTAAATTGTACTTGATCCATAAACTCGACTTTTGGCCAAAGTACGAGTACAAAAATTATACGTATTGATCGTAGATGCGCAATTAGTAAAATTTATTAAGCATAACTAATCAATTTTTTTTTTAGAAAATATTACCCATTTCGCAAAGGTAATCTGAAATAATCTTTTTATAGTTTAACCTTCCTGGTAATGGAGATTTCTTCTGATCGGGGATATCGGCTAAGTGCAACTTAAATAATTCGATGGGTTTGGAAAGTTCAGACTTTTCAGCTCGTCGGCGACTAGGCTTACTAAATAATGCATTATATCCCCAAGCTTCAGCCTTTGTAAAGGTACTATTATATCGAAGCGCGATCTTTAATTTATACAAGCCTAGTAAATTAGTTCATAATGATTTCTGGATAATCGAGGAGGTAATAAACAAAGCTCTTTCTTTAAAAGAATAATAATAGTTTAAGTTTATTTACAAGGCCTTCGTAAATAAAATTAATACGTATTTCCCAAATAAGTTGTTTCAAAGTCTAATTTCAAGATTAATAATTTAAATTGATTTTAGAAAGATAAAATATGTTAAGCTATCCAGCGAAAAGAAAGTCTATATCTATAGCAAGAACCACGCGAATATTTTTATTTGATGACATAGTATGCTTTATTCTTGTGCATGTAATATTTCAAATCAATTATAGAATGCCCACTCTTTATTTTATAAAGAGATTCTAATAAAAAAAAAATAGAAATGATAACTAATTCTCTATTCGCTTATAAAGCACTCCTAACATAAGTTTGGACCAAATATTCGTCCCAGAATAATGGCAATAGTTGTTTGGAGAATAAGGTCCTAATCAACGAATACGTATACAGTATGTACGCCGATCTTAAACGTACAGTAAATACTGTACGTAATAAAGCGGGTACGTATGTAGTTCAACATCCTATCATATGTAATGGTACATCCTGTTTTTGATGACGCGGACTTCTAACTCCTTTATCTTATCTTATCATCTGAAACGGACAATATTCTCCAAATTTATCTAAATTTGGAATACCTTATGAAATGCATTACGGTAATTAGTAGCATTTAAGAAACTTTTACCTGGTGGAGGAAAGTCATCAAACTGATGACTGTATAACAATTTGAGAAGAAGAATATACAGTATATTATTTTAGTCGGATTTTAGAAATATGTTAAAATGTTTAGTATCGTTTGGATTGTTCTCTTAGAAATACAGTACATTCATAATTGTTTTATATCCCTATATTGAAAAATAATAATTGTTCACACTTTATTATTCGTATGCTTCGAATAAAGTTTATAGACATTGTATTTATAAATGCAATGATTTTTTTTTTTATCAAGTATTACTTAACTATTCTCCTGAAATAAAAGCTAAGCTTACTTAAATTATACTACCTTATACGCAATATACTCAAGTGTGACGTAGTTGTCATTCGAGTGATGAGCATTTGGTCAACAGAGTATATTAAAGTCTACACGTTAGATGCTATGTAAGGTTACATTTGTACTATCGCTTGAAAACGTCACTCTCGAGAACCAATATGATACGTATCAGGTAATATAATGTAGCCGATTTTTCTCGAATGCTGGGCTAGCCTCATTACGAATTTGACAGGCTGAACGCATTTTACACATTATTTGGGTCATCGCTCAAATAACATTGTGGCCTATTTCTCTCGTCATACCAAATTATAATCTGCGAACAGGATACTCGTTCGTGGATATACAGTAGCTGTTTTCAAACCCAAGAATTTATGTAATAATTATACGTATGTCATGACCTGCAGCAAGAATGCGTGTTCATGATTTTTGACCATACGCAAAGTCACGATATACAGTGGTACCCTAGATTATTTGGAAAAAAATTTTTTTTTTTTTTTTTTGAAAATTAAAAAATTTATTACTATATAATAAATATTAATCTAAAATATATAATAAATCAAATATGAATTTTAAAATTTTAACTATAATAAATATTGAATAATAATAATAATAATTATAATTAT